GACTGGCACACACTGAAGTTGTATAAAGTCGATTTAAAGGATCCCAAATAAAATAGTAGTAACAATGTATGATAAGGATCATGCTTAATGACCAACTGATGTCTGTGTCTCACCCGGAGTGGGGCACACACCTCTAATCCCAGGACGTCAGAAACTGAAGCAGGATGATTACCTCGATTTTGAGGGCAGTTTGGGCTGCTTTATGAGACCCTGTCTCAAAAACAAACAAACTAAAAGAGAATCCTTAAAGGGGAAAAATAAAGGATTATTCAAAAACTAGTTATGAGACAATAAGAAATTCATAAGGAAGAAATAAAGTGAATGCATATTTCACATTACCAGAAATAAATTCCACAGGCAGGCGTAGTGGTGCACGCTTGTGATCCGAGCACTCCAGGAGGCTGAGGAAGGTAGATTGGAAGTTTGCACACAAGCTGGGCAAATTAGCTACTTACTGAGATCCCAGTTTTTAAAAAGAAAAAGGAAGGCGCTGCAGGTGTAGCTTAATGTGGAGGCCTGTGCTCAATCCCCACTATGGCACAAGTGAGCAACAAACTGATTCAAAGCTACATTATAAAGTAGAATGTGTACATTATAGCATAGTAGTATTATAGCAGTATAAAGGAATATACTTTATAATATATAGAGAAGAAAATAAAAGAGAATATCTTTATAATCATGAGGTGGTAAAGATCAAAAGTCTTAAGAAAAAACAAATTTTATTAAATAGAAAATTTAAACTCCTCATAGTGAAAGAGGAGAAAATATTTGCCAAATAAAAGAAAAAAGGATGTTCCACATATATAATAACTATAGGTTTAATAACTATAAAGAGTTGCTAAAATATATGATATAAACAAACTGTAAGGTGTTCCTATAATTCCAACTCCTCAGGAGACTGAGGTAGGGGGGTCACTATGTTAAGCCCAGCTGAGCAACTTAGATACTGTCTTATTGCCAAGGATTTGGCTCAGCAGCCTAAGCATCTTCCTGGCAAGTGTGAGGTCATGAGTTCGATCCCCGGTATCAAAGATAAATAAATAAATAAGACTGGGGATGTAGTTCAAGAATAGAGTGCCCCTGAGCTCAGCTCCCTGTCCCTGCCCATGTTGCAATAAATAAACAAGCCTGCAGAGGGAAAAAAGCCAAGAAAAAGGTAAGTTTTGGAAGAAATTCTTTGCTTTTTTTCCCTCTGCAAGCTTATTTATTACTTGTGTTACCATGCCCTGTCTGGTATTCTATACATTTTATAAATCGATAAATAGTTCTACTGGAGTCATGAACTATGTTTCACTCTGAAAGCAAGTCAGCACTCAACAGAGCACAAACAGAAAATGTTGTCTTCACTTAGCTCTTAGGAACTGAAAAAGAATTCATAGTCAGATGCCTTTTGCTCTTTTCTCCCTATTCTTTGCTCTTCTACATAGTTTGGGGTTAACTTGCAAATTCCATGAAAAACTCCAACTGGGATTTTGATTTGATTTATTATCATTACTATTACTCAGGGTCATTCTGTGTAGTTCAGGTTGATCTTGAGCTCACTTACCTAGTCCAGGCTAGCCTTAAACTCTTAACAATCCTCCTGCTCTGCTTCCCAAGTACTGGGATTATAGATGTGCACTGCCACACCAGCTTTTTTACTTTGCAGGCTTTAAAATTTTATTTTAACCAAGAGTGGTGGCACATGCCTATAATCCTAGCATTTGGGAGGCTAAAGCAAGAGAATAGCTTTGAGTGTGAGGCCAGTCTGGACTACATAGTGAGTTCAAGGCCAACCTATACTACAGCTTCAGTCAGCTACAGCTGAGCTGCCTGGGGAACTCGGTGTAGCTCACCTCCCTGGGACTACTGCTTTGTGATTTCCAATAAGACATTGCCCCGTGGAGGACAGAAACAACAAAAGTGAAATCGGGGCTTTGGTCTCTGCTCCCAGGTGGACAAGTGGCTTTGTTTGGGATTCTGCAGTCTGGGGCTCCAGGATGTTTTCACGGTGGGCTGCACAGCACATCTAGCTAAGACTTGCTTGCCCTTGTCTTTCCCTGAGCTGCAGGGGAGAGTCAGACGCTGGGCTGTGCTTCAGGGCAGCTCCCTCAGCAAGGCCAGCCCTCAAAGGATTCCAGTCCTTCTTGCCTGGAAGAAAGAAATGGACAAGATAAGCCACAAGCAGGACAAATGTTTATTGGAAAAGTGTGGGTAAATGGGTACGAGAGGCACCAGCTCTGCGGAACGGACTTGGACCGAATAAAGAGAAAAAGAAGATAAAACCAAAAGTAAAAGTGCTCGCGGGGTCTGAGAAATGGGGACTGTGGAGCAAACTCCCTGGGGCAGTGGCCTTCTGCGGCTCCACATCTCCTGGGAGCCCGCAAGGAGTTCTACACATGGGTCCCCAGCTGCCTCGGTTCTTGTAATTGGCAGGTCCTGCTCACCCGGCTTTCCACGCCCGGCCACTATCAGTGGGGCGGTGGGAGGAAACGGGGTGGCTGGGGGTGCTGAGGGGCAGTCACCGGAGGAGCTTGCCCCACCTGCCTTCCCCTCCGGGCAGAAACCTGGAGTGCCCTGATGCGGACCAGTAGCTCAGAAAGGACATCTTACTCCATTCCGGCCTTGTAATAACTTGCCATTGACCGAGTGGCCAGCACACAACAGGAATTTCTCATAATTCTGGAAGGCTGGACCTTTGGATCAAAGTGCCAGCAGGTCTGCTGTCTTGTGAGGTCTCTGGCCCCATAGTGGACTCCTCACTGTCCAGAGAAGAGGGGATGAGGGGAGTCCTGCTTTGGGCTTCTGTAATAAGAGGTGATATCATCAGGGGCTCTGGACCCACGACAAGAACCTTCCAAAGGCACCACATCCTAATACTGTTGCTTCGGGGTTATAGTCCGCAAACATCCGGACTACGACACCAAGGACCAGAGCAGCGCATTTCACCAACATTTGGGCATCTAGTGGCCTCTCAAGATGAGTCCCTTATTCTTGATTTTCATCTGATTCTTCCTTCAGGTGACTGAAGGCAGACTGAAGTCTGCTCTGTGGTCTGGCGCTGTGTGCGTTCTCTTTTTCTCTCCTTTCGGCAGCTACCAGAATGAATCGGCTCAGAGCTGCAGTGACTGGGAAGCCAGCCATGCTTACCCTTCGTCCGTCCCCCGCAGCCCTCTGTCCTCTACACAGCACTGCACTGGGACCCAGTGTCCTTCCCTGATCAGACCTCAAGATGCAGATTTGGGGCTAGGAGATGCCAGCTTTAGGGTAGCTGAGATCGCAGCCTGGTAGTGCCTGATTTTGTACCTTGGAGTGTCACAGTCTCGGTCAGGCTCCTCACCGCTTCCTGCCCTGAGTCCTGGCTGTCCAGAGTTTCCTTTGTTTTTTACGTGATTATATCTCTGTCTTCTTCCTCAGGCTTTCTCTTTTGTGTACCAACATCTACCTTTATGGCAAAACCAAAACCAACCAAGCACACCGGTGCCCTACACTGCCCTTTATGTGTCCCCAGAATCTCTTTCCCTCCTGTCGGACACCGAAATCACGTGATGCTGAAGGGGAAGAAAGGATCAAGGGGACTCCAGACACAGGCGCTGGTCCTCTCGGCTGTTTCAGGGCCACCCTAATGACTAGTGCTGTCTGAGTGCCGCACAGATGCCCCTGTGGGCCAGGCGGCAGCAGAATCTTTTTAAACACAAAAGGTTCTGCCTACAGCCAATAGAAACTGCCGTGCTTTGCCATTCAGGTGCCTAGCAGAGGAACACAGGGTGCTTTCCTAGGGTAGCACAATGCTGGAGCCCGGGTTCCTTCCCACTGTGTGGCCAGGCCCACCGCAATGTCATGTGCCATGCAAGCAAGCGGGCTACTCTGCAAAAGCCGGCTCCTTTTCAAAATACCAGGCTCCTTTTCAAAGAACTCTTAGTAAGCCTGAAGCACCAATCTGAGCAGTGGTGTGTGTGTGTGTGTGTGTGTGTGTGTGTGTGTGGTGGGAGTGTTAAATAAAACACGTACACACAGAAAGGAGGACCTCATTTCTGTCACTCCTGGTCACTGGGGCCACTCTGACTCTGGCATGCATGGCCCTGAAGAATCACAGTATGAGTCTTGACACAGGAAGCCAGGCTCTGAAGTGAATTCGGAGCTTCCTTCCCAGCTGGGAAGGTGCGGCAAGGTCACTCTAACGGAGCCTAAGGAAACAGGATATCTGGAAACACCTTCGTGCTCTGCTCAGGTAGTTAAAAGCACCCACCCAAGCAATGGGTTCTCTGTTTATGACTTTAATCTTGCTGGCTGTCCTCTCACTCACCTGTTCATTGGAGTTCATAACCTTATTTACACTGTGCCATTTTAACAATGGGGTTCACAAGCCATTCCTGTAACTCTCCACTTATATTAAGACTTGATTTGCACCTGGATGTTACTAAACCTGCTCCGAATACTTCCTTACCCACTGCAAAATTAGGACAATAATACTGTTTCAAAGATTCCCTGAGGATGAGGGAAGATTAATGTATGTAATTATTTAGCATTGTAATTGACAATTACATAGTAAATGGGTTTTTCCCACTTTTTTAGTCTCTCAAAGTTTCTATTTAGGAATCTATTTAGAATTCCTGAAGTTGCTGGGTGTGGTGGCACATGCCTGTAATCCCAGAATTTTGGAAGACCAAAGCAGCAGGGTTGCAAATTCAATCCATCCAGGACAATTTAGCAAGCCCCTGACTGAAAATAAAAATAAAAATATAAAAGAGGACGGTAGCTCAGAGATGGAATGTCCCTAGGATCAATCCTCAGGAAGGACTGAATCCAAAGGAGAAACCAAAACAAAAAACCAGCAAACACCAGGAAGAGTTTCTAGAAGTTATCGTTTGTTTCTTTGTGAAAATTGTGACATTTGCTTCCTTCTGGTCAGCCTAGCTATAAGAAAATCTGCAAGAATTAAAACTGTTAAAGTGTAATTTTTAAAATGTTTATTATTTATTTGCCTTTTGCATATGTGTATGTGGTGCTGGGGACTGAACTGAAGGCCTCATATATGCGAGGCAAATATTCTACCACTGAACCCTGTCTCAGCTCTACAATGTTTTTAAATATAAAAATATAATTCTGTGCATACAAAAAATTAATGAGGGCTAACGATTTTATTCAACTCACTGATTACTGAGGGTATCAGTAAGATGTTGATACAGATTCAAAGGAGAATCTGAGAAAAAGAGAGGCAATGGGGGCGCAGAATGGTTTTGCTAATGGTTTTGCAGATTTTTATTTGCAGAATTTTGAAGATGTTCCTCAGATGCCTGAAAGCGTGGCCAGTGTTGAACTGTGTATGTTCCCATGTCTTTTCCTATACATAGGTACCTGTGGCAAAGTTTAATTGAAAAATTAGGCACTGAAAAACATTAATAACTAATAATATAGGAGGGCAATTAGAATCATGTGCCATAATAAGAATTAATTTACATTTCTGGACTATTTATTTCTAGCACTGAAGCTATCCCAGGATTTCAGCACAGCTCACAGCTTTTTTTTTTTTTTCTTACTGGAAGTGAGGGTTGGCTACACAAGTGCAGGATACTTTTTCTAACTTTTATTCTTATTGGCACATATTTATGGCATGTAATGATTACACTCATGGCGGCAGTTGGTACGTGGACCTAACACACTTTAGCTCTTCTTGAGTTTCCTCTTCTCCTCTCCCACTATCTCTTGGTCTTCCAGGAATAAGTTTGGGCCGAAAAATATAAGAATACTGGACAGCCTGCATCTGCTGATGAGGAAACTTCTACTGCATTATTACTTATTATTATCATTATTATCCCTTCTTTTCCTCTCTTTTTTTTTCTTTTTTCTTTGGTACCGGGAATCGAGCTCACAACCTGGCGCTTGCCAGGCAGGCGCTTACACTGCTGAGCTAAACCCCTGGCTCCTTCTTCTTTTCCTCCTTCTTTTTCTTCCTACTCCAAGAGCACTCTGAGCTATATCTCCATCCTCATCCCTACCTTTTTTTCTTTCTGAGACACAGCCTTACAAAATTGACCAGGCAGGACTCAAATTTTCAAACCTCCCGCCTCAGCTTTCCTTGGTTTAAGATTACACCACTTTCCTGAGTTGAAGAAGTTGATTAAGGGGAAAAGATACCATCCAGAGCAAGTCTTCAATTAGTTATCAGTTACTGTGGCATAAATTAAACTTTAGGTATGTATGTATTAGAAAACAACTAGATATATACATAGTGAATACAAAACTACGTCTATATAAAAGCCATGGTTACAGGCATCACCTGGGATTCTTCGGGTGCATTCCCCATGGATAAGCAGGAACTTTTGCTGAAGATACAGCTCTGTCTTAAAGAGTTCACCTAACGTATGTGAGGTCCTAGGTCCAAACCCTGGTATTGCAGGAAAAAAAAAGGTCATTTTTCACTTTTTCACTCCTGTCACCTATAATTTGTTTCCATATTTTGGACACATTTTCCAGATAAAAGTTACACACATACAATGTGGTCTAGGAGGGGCTGGGGATTTAGCTCAGTGGTGTAAGTGCCTGCCTGGCAAGTTCAAGGTCATGGGTTCGATCCCCAGTACCCCTCCCCCCAACTACTAGTGACTATCCATAAACAGTGTGCTCTAGGAGGAAGACATGGCATTTTCTCACTCTAGGGTACCACAGAGTCAGCTTGGGGCTACCTAGATCTAACACCCTGGTTCCTACCATAACCAACTGCTCACTCTCAGCCTCTGATTATAGGGATTCTCCTCTCACTGAGCATGATGGGCATTAGGGAGAGGTACTGGGGGGCCAGTTTTACCATTAACCATTTTGTTCCTCCATGGGGCAGCCCTGGGGAGAAGCAGTCATTATTAGAGGTTGCCCTCCACAGACTGCTCCCTTCCTTGTAAACCCTCAGTCGTCCACCCCTGCACACCTTCAACACCCCTCCCCCGAAAGTGTTACTATAAACTTGTGGTGGACCCATAACCAGTGGTCAGCTTGTAACACCAGCTGAACCGAATCAGCGTAGTGCTGAGTGTGGATGGTCCACCTGAAGATTGCTGCCAAGATTAAAAGCAGACCTGGAGAGGAAGTGGGGGTGGTGTTGGTTCTTCCTGGCGTTGTTGGCTCTCCTGTTGGCGTGGGTTCTCCTAGACGAGCTTGTTGAGCTTTGTTCTTGATATAAATTCCGCTATTCTCATGGTCAGAGGAGCTCAGGACCCTGGTGCTGCTGCGAATGGCTGCGGTTCACTTTGGGGGAGCTTAGGTCTTTACTGTTTCCTGGCTCCAGAGGGGAAGATAGTGGGCTGTTTAATCTCCAGCAGAGGCTTGTATCGCTGGCTTCCTGGTATCACTTGGCTGTTTTCATTGTTGGTATAGCTTGAGACTTCTCTGTCGCTGAGGGTGGCTGTGGTACTTTCCAGGGGAGCTTAACTTTGAGTGTTGCTTCCTGCTTCCACTGTAGAACCCTCATCTGCTGGCACAGCTCCTTCACCCCACTTGCACAGACTTTCTAGCTTCCACTGCTGACCTTTGGGCCTTCCCAGAGCAGATCTGTGCAACAGACTTGCATGAGTCATTGTTGTGGGCTCCAAGCCTCCAGTGGGACTCATGGTGGAGGGGCATTGTTATGGGCCCTAGGGCTTCAGCTGGACTCATGCAGGACATCGCTGTGGGATCCAGGCCCTCAGCTGGATTCCTTAGGTCTTCATGTGTGGACAGATTTCCTGAACTTCTTGTAATTAACTCTTTGGGTGACTGTTACAAATTCTGTGTCCTGTGTTGTCTTGTCCTTGCAATCTCTGCCTACAACAAAACTTAAATTTGCAACAAAAAAATTTTTTTATACTAGGCAAGTGCTCTGCCACTGAGCCACATTTCCAGTCCTTTTTATTTTTTATTTGGAAACGGATTTTGCTAACTCCCCAGAACTTGGTCTGTGGATTTAGCTCAGCAGGTCAAGTGCTTGCCTACTAAATGTGAGGTCATGAGTTTAATCCCCAGGAAAAAAAAGTCACCCAGACTGACCTCCAAGATGCAGCCCTCAGTAGCTGGATTACAGGCATGCCTCACCATGCCCAGCTGGCACAGTGTTTTGCAACTTATTTTTAAACTTGTCTGTACTCTGTAAAGAGTGCCCGTATTTCTTGTGTCTCTGATTAAGACACAAGACAGATTTGTCTTTTGATTAAGTTGTTCTTTGGTAGTAGGAACTATTCCCCTCTGTTGCCACTGATATTTGGAAGTTAAATATTTGTTGACTGAGGGACAGGGTGGAAGGCAGCCGAATCCTTTCCAGCTTTGGCTTCTCTGTCCCTTCAAAATAACGTGCAAATAACTTAGCAGGGCCGGAGATCTTCCCTGATCTTGCCCACCTTCTGTCAGACCAAAAGTTGACCCCAAACATTTTTTCTTGTCTCTCTGTATCTACTTTTCCAATCTGGAATGTTCTCTGACTTTACCTTCAGGGTCTAACTAGTGCTACCTCTTCCCTGAGGTCTCCATTTTGAAGTTATCACATTTCTTGCCTTTTCCCCTAAGCCGCTCCGGTGACATCTTGTGGACTATGCAGCCACACTCAGGTCACTCGGTTTTGTGATCATCAGTGAGTTACTGTAGGGTACCAGAATATGCCACCCCAAAACATTACTAGGACAGTAGATTAAACCACCCCTGGGCACAAGGATCATTTGAGCTGATTTTTTTTAAACTACAGGCCTAAGAGATACTCTAAAAACAGAGTACAAATTACCTTTTATAAGGGAAATCTATATAGAAAATTTCAGTTTGTATGAGTGTCTTCCTTTCTATACCAGGGAGAGAAAGATAACTCTAAATTACCAGGAGCTCTTATCAGGAGAGGTGGCACCACCTTAAGTCTGTACAACAAACCTTCCTCTTATTCCCTGCACTTCCCTGAATTCCTCTCCTTAGCAGACTTCTCCAGACCCTCCTTTCTCTGTTCAGTGATGGCATTTAAGCCTAAGTCTACTAATTTCTCTGGGTGTCTTCACACATAACTTGAAGTATGCATGTAATTAAACTTTTTTTCTCTGATTAGTACATCTTTTGTTACTTGGGCGCTCTTGACTAAGCACTAGGTAGGGTAGAGATTAAATTCTTTTTTTTCTCTCCTATATTACAAAACTATCTGTGCCTCATGTGCTAATTTTTTTTTTTTTTTTGTATTTTTACCGGTACCAGGGATTGAACTCACGACCACATGCTTGCAAAGCAGGCACTTATGCCGCTGAGCTAAATCCCCAGTCCCGTGCTAATATAAATTTGCAGAGAAAATTTGCTCTCACCATGGGGTTTCTCTCTCTCTCTCTCTCGCTCTCTCTCTCTCTCTGTGTGTGTGAAGATTAAATAAATTGGTATATGCAAAGCACTCAGAAGAATCTGTAACATAGTGAGTGCCCAGTGAGTTATTTATCCCTTTTGCATGCTCTCATCTTTCTCTCATGCTCTTTCAGAGTTCTTACACCTTACATATATTTACTTTTTGAGACAGGGTCTTGCTGTGCAGCCCAGGCTGGTCTTGCACTGGTGATGACCCTCTTTGCCTCAGCCTCCTGCGTACTGGGGTTATAGGCATGTGCCACTTTGTCTAGCACTACCTTGCATGTGCTGTGTTTCCTTTTTTACATGCCTGTTCCCATCACTGAAGTAAGCTCCCCCTGAGGGATATTTCCAGAACATTTGCTGAATAAATATAAATTAAAGAATTATGAACAGATAATTGATGCCCTGGCTCTCAGCAAACAAATCCTAATACAAATCACACTTCTGCTTGTGCTACATGGGATTTTTAAAAATTCACCAAACAAATCTGGCTGGGTTTGGTGGCACAGGCCTGTAATCTCAAAAGAGTGAGTCCCCAGTTTACAGATGACTTCCATTCCAGGAGAAAGTTCATTAAGTCAGAATCGTTCCTAAGTCTGACAAAGTGAGGCTCACACACCTTTGACACAAATGCACAATGCACATTGCTTTGTGCTTTCTGGATTTGTATTCTCTCTGTCACCACTGCTTTTCCTCTTGCTCTGGGAATCTGGGAGGCTGACTGAGCACTGTGCTCCACACTACTGCACTGTACAGTGACCACGCAGCAGCCTAGCTGTGATAATGTCCACCAGACACGCAAGCTACTTCCACAAGTTTTCCTCATCTATGTAATGCAAAGTCTGTTTGTGAAAGTTTTTAACTTGAATGCTTATAAATTGGGGGCTTTCTGTACTTGGGAGGTTGAGGCAGGAGAATCATTGTGAGTTTAAGGCCAGCCTGGGCTACATAGTGAGTTCAAGGTCCGTCTGAACTATACATAAGGAGATCTGTCTTATTAAAACACACACACACCACCAGACTTATGAAGTGAGCTTTTATTTTGCAGTTTCAGGTGTCTGTTTGATGTGAAGTGTAATGTTTAGATAGCCCTGACACCACCTATGCACCAGGATCTTTACTACGGAAATTGTCTTGGGCGTATTTGTTTTCTGGGTGTAACCTGACAGTCAGTTTGTCTTGCCTCTTAAAGCTCACGTAGATGGTTACTTTTCCCAGTGAAATCCCTAAGCCTGTTGGCTGGCGTGTTACCCTGAGCTAAATGTGTGTAACCTTGAGCAAGTCATTGCCCCAATTCTGGGTTGTTTCCTCCTTCTTACAAGGAGGTCATTTTGCTTCTTATACTAGATCGTGTGATTTCTCAGCAACATTCGATCTTCTTTCATGTCCTCCCTTGTGTGCAGGAGCCCGATGTCCGTAAGATGGTGGCTCCTAGCCCTCTCCCAGGCATGGCTCCAGGCGCCTAGGCTCTATGCCCAGGAGTATGTCTGCAGATCCTTAGGGTGAAGGAGCGGAGGTGACCAGTGCTCCAGCAGTGGCAGGCAATGAGTCGTCTTGGCAGCTGTGGGGATAAGGATGTAGGTGTCACACATTGTAGGTGTCTTCCTGCAGAGCGCTCCTATGTGTGCTGCAAGTAACTGAGATCCTTGGCGATTCCCACACAGACTAATATTCCTGAATGCTCACAGAAGTTTTCTTGCCCTTCCGTCAGGTTTCTAAAACCACAGATATATTGGAATATAATTCACATGTCACACAATTTACCCACTTAAAGAATATATCTCAGCCAGGCGTGGTGGTGCACACTATAATCCCAGCACTTAGGAGGCTGAGGCAGGAGGATTGTTTCAAATTCAGGACCAGCCTGAACTGCATAGCAAGACCCTGTCTCAAAAAGACAAAAAACAAACAAAAAAAAGAAAATACATGCATCTCAGTGGTTTTTAGTACATTCAAAAAGTTGTGCAGTCCTCACCACAGTGAATTTGAGAACCCTGAAAAGAACTCCAAATGTGTGAAATGGTTTGGACTCACATGGGTGAACATCGTGTTTTCTCCCTATTATAAAAAACTGAAGGAGTTGGTGGGATCCAAAATGTGCAATATATATGGGGAAAGTGAAGGGTCTAAAAAGAGAAGGTGGTGGCCACTGATAATTTCTATTATCTTGTTTTGAAACCCTGTGTCATTTTCATTGTTCATTTTGGTTTGGTTTGGTTTGGTTTGGTTTTATTACATCTGATGATATAGGCAGCTACTTTGAAGTTAACAAGAGGCATAATGGTAGCCATTGTTGTTTTCCAATATCTTATTTTGAAGTCCTGGATCGCATTCACTATTTCATTTTGATTAACTCTATTCCATTTTATTTGGTTTGGTTTTATTTCCTTTAAAATTTAAAAATCCACACTAGCAGCAGCTTCCCAGTCACTCTGGGCCCTGACCGGCTTCCTCTTCTCTCTTTCCTCCAGGCAAACATCAGTCCAGTTTCTGTCTCTCTAGCCGTGTCTATTTTGAACATTTCATTCACTGCATACCTGGTTATGTTGGGCTTTGCTTATTGCATTTTATAGATGTCATGGCTTCTGTTTTTGGGGTGTTTTATTGTTGTTGTTGCTGGGCTGTTTCATTTTGTTTTTGTTTCAGGCAGGCTCTTGCTCTGTAATTCCAGCTGGCCTTGAACTCACTTATGTAGCCCAAAGTGGCCTCGAATTCACAGGGACCCCATAACCGGCAGTGCCACTATGCCGTTTGTTTTCTGTTTTTGAGACAGCCTTGTTATATAGTTTATGTTGTCTTTGAAATCACTATGTAGCCCTCACAATCCCAATCCTAAACTGGGTGTGGTGGCGCATGCCTGTAATCCCAGCATTCAGGAGGCTGAGGCAGGAAGATTGTGAGTTCGAGACCAGCCTGGGTTACAAAGTACGGCCAAGGCCAACCTGCACTGCACAATGAGACCTTGTCTCAAAAAGACCAAAAAAAAAATCGTAATCCTGCCTCAGCCTCCCAAGGGCTAGAATTACAGGTGTGTGCCACCATGTCCAGCAGATATGTGCTACATAACTAGACCCAGTCTCAAAAAGAGAAGGAAAAAAGTAAGCAACAAACCAAGCCACACAGAGGCACCTGTGACCTGTCACTGTTATACTAAGATGC